TTCCTCCTCTTTCCGGGGGAGATCAGGGCTCTGATGACCTGGTTCACACCAAGGCTAAAGCATCTAGCATTTTAAATGACAGTCTGAGGGGACAATGCTGGTCACCAAAGAGTGACATTTCTGCAAAGGGGGCAGGTGTATTTGTATCCCCCTTGCTCAGATGAGCCTCCACGTCCCTCCACATCATAAATCCCCTGTGCTGGCCACAACGGACCCTGGCTTATGTCACCAGCAGAGTGGCTACTCCTGAATGTTTGCCAATGAAGGCATGAGCAAGAGAATAAAATAAACGCCAAGGTTACATGTGTACACCTGCACATCAACTGCTTGTCCCTGGGATCACGAGGGCAGAGATTTTTGTCCATTTTCTTCTGTTTCTGCAGCACCTGCTATAGAGCTTGTCACAGAATTGGCACCGTGAATTCCTTTTTGAATGAGTGACTGTGTCACTCAGGCATAGCCTGGCTGCTTCTCCCAGGAGGATGGAAGGATGGAAGTTGGACCGAGTGGCTTCTGGGGATCCCCTACAGTGCCTGGGATCCACCTTGTATAAGTTTCTTCTACAATCATTGAGAGAATCTCTTCCAGCTCTTGCCTTATGGCAAATCCACTTTCGTAATTCCAAGTAGTATTTGGATGGCTGTCATAGGCCCTGCTCCATTTGTTCCTCACAATTACCTGCGTTGGAGACAGGACTAACCCCATTGCCCCCATCCTATCACGGGGAAGCTCAGGCTTGGGGATGCTAACTGTCTTGCCCAAGGTCACACGGTGAGTGAGCCCAGAGGCCAAGTCAATGCTCTTTCTGCCCCCATCCCTGCCTGGTGGGGGCATCTGTGCACGGTGATCTTGACTTACCAGAGAGATCCTTGAGAATCTTACAAGTCAAAGCAGGGAGGATCTTTCTATCCAAAGAGACAGACATCCTCTTCTATTTAAATGTGTGGCTCTTGGGGCCTTTCCCCCACTTGCTTTAAAAAAAAATTAGGTAAAATTCACATAGCATAAAAACCCCTAAAAAGGCACATTTCAGTGACATCTGGTACATGCACTGTGTTGTGCTATATCACTTACATGAAATTTCAAAACATTTTCCTCATCCCCAAAGAAAACCCCCTTACCCAGTGGTAGTCTCCTCCTTCCCTCACCCCCAGGCCTGGCAACCACTTGCCTCCTTTCAATCGCCATGGATTTGCCTATTCTGGGCATTTGACATCAATGGGGTCAGATAACCTGTGGCCTTTTGTGCCTGCCTGCCTGCCTACCTTCCTTCCTCCCTCCCTCCCTCCCTCTCTCTCTCCCTCCCTCCCTTCCTTTCTCTCTCTCTTTGCTCTGTCACCCAGGCTGGAGTGCAGTGGCATGATCTCAGCTCACTACAACCTCCACCTCCCAGGTTCAAGCAATTCTCCTGCCTCAGCCTCCCAAGTAGCTACGACTACAGGTTCCCGCCACCACACCTGGCTAATTTTTGTTTTTTTGGTAGAGACAGGGTTTCGCCATGTTGGCCAGGCTGGTCTCGAACTCCTGACCTCAAGTGGTTCACCCACCTCGGCCTCCCAAAGTGCTGGGATTACAGGAGTGAGCCGCTGTGTCCAGCCTGGCTTCTTTCACTTAGCGTCATGTTTTCTATGTGCAGTGTGAGTCAGCACTGTGTTTCTTTTTATGGCTGAATAATATTCCTTTGTTTGGAGAGACCACATTTTATTGACGGTGTCTAGAAGGTTGTGTGAAAAGGTTTGACTTTCTTGGGATATTGCCTTCTGTGCAGATGCTCTGAGACATGTCTAAGGAAGCCCACGTCTGCCTAAGGAAGCCCATTTCATATCACATCCTTTGATGACTCTGAGATGTCTCTGAGGAGGGAAACTGAAGGTCAGATATGGGTGAAGACCAGCAAGTCCAGTGAACCCAAACAAGACCTGATCTATGAGGTTATGGGGACAGCAGTCGGAATGGAGATGGGAGACAGCTGTCTGCCCAGCCCCGCCCCAAGGTCACTGGCAGCCTGGCTAAGAACTAGCCTCGTGGGGCTTTGCTCCCTTCTCTGGGGAGAGAAAGTTAGGCCGGGGCTCCTCTCTGCTTTTCAAAACCTGAGGTTCTACCCTGTTCTTTCCACAGCGCTGGTTCCTCCATGGTTAGTATCCAGGTTTGGGTTTTCCATTTGTTTTCCCCTCCACCTGCTGTGTGGAACTTTTTGATGCCCAATAGAACCTTCCTTAGGGGATAGATCACTGGACTCCGCAGAAGCCGCCTATGGGACCATAGGTTAGTGAACAGGGACTCCTGGGGCAATGACAGGAGTTCATAGCATCAGGTTCCTGGCTCATGGTAAGTGTTTGGTAACTGTAGCTGTTAGTACTATGATACTAATAACAATAATTATTAATGTTATAATTTAGGCCATTGGAAAAAGCAGTACAAAAATGTGACTGATTTGTTCTTGTTTGCCAAGTGAATTTCCAGCTTCCCTGGGCGGAGTTGAGATGGGAACTGTGGACCAGTCTTGTTTGGGCTGAAGCAGCGCACGCAGCTGGCCACCTGTGGCTACCTGGCCATGGACCACAGCGTTCCCACCCCCACGTCAGCCACAGACACAAAGAGGAGCTGGGCTTCTGCACGCCAAGTCGTAGCCCATATTTGACTCAATTCAAACCAGACATAGCCCTTTCTCAGGGCTCCCCTTCCCACATCCTGTTCCCAAGTGGCTTTGAGGATGGAGCCAAGTTCTTCTTAATGATATCACAGCAGGAGTTGATTGCTACCTTGAGTGGTTTGGCTGCAACAGGCTTCATAAATGAGTGTTTCTTGAACTTGAACGTGCTTACAGATCGCCTGCCGATCTCGTCACAAGGTAGAGGCAGATTTGGTAGGATCCGGAGGGATGTCTGAGATTCCGTGATTCTAACAAGCTCCAAGCTCCCAGGGGAGGTTGAGGCTGCTGGTCCTCAGATCACCCTGGTGGTCGCAGGGCCCTATACACATTATCTCCCTGCCTGGGCTGTGTGTTGGCCAGCTCAGCCTTCATGGGGAGCTTCCAGAAAACCCCTATCTGGGCTTCTTTACTGTCCTGTGGTATAAAAACTGTTCCTTGATGGCATTAGGAGAGGGCCACCCAGCAGCTGTGACCAGCCATCCAACAGGAGGAGGAGTCGTGGCCTTGCTGTGCTGGCGGGTGACCTGGGACAAAAGCTGGCTCTGCAGTCTATCAAGCGTAGTGGTCTGAGCTGTGGGAGCCACTCCCGCCCTGTGGGCATAGCCCAGGCTGCTGGGGGACTCAGCCCATCTGCGTGGGGCTCAGGACTGAGGAGCTCCTGTGGGCTCACTAGGAGAGTGGGGGGTTTAGGCCCCCTTTGCCCTGCTTTAGTCCCTGCTCTCAGTCACACGTAACCAGTTAGTGTGACTTGCGGTGTCATGTTACTGCCACATAGGCTTCACCATGCTGCAGAGAACAGGAAAGGGGACTAATTCCCACCCCCAGGTCACCTGGCCCAGGTCCTGAATCATCTTTTTCCCCATCCAGTGCCGCAGTATCTACTGAAGAGTAGTCACTGTAGAGATGATGGAGGGCATGAAGGCTTCTGGAATACTCTAAAAGCAGAAGAGCATGCGTAATCTAATCCTGAGAGACTGTGGGGATGAATGATCTGCTTCCCATTGGCCATGCAGTGCCGGAGGTCCACTCCCTGCCACCCCACACTCCGTACCGTCTGCAGTCATGGGGCCTTGTAATTCATGAGGCTCGCATTGCCTGTAGGATATGGGGTGGACAGCCAGGAATCGTATATTTTGTCCTTTCCCCTTCTTTCAAGGGTAACAGAGCATTCCCTCCATTCCATAGTCAAGGAATGAAACCTACGTCCCTGTTTGGATTGCATGAGTTTCAAACACACCTTTCCAGGATTGAGATGTGATGAAACCTCCACTGGAATTTTTAAATCATGAGTGCAGGTTAATTTATGAGCGGTTGAAATAATCAGTTTGCAGCATCTATAAAAGCTGCTGCATTTCAAACTCAGGGTAGAGGTGCCAGGGCCACAGGAAAGCCATGAGAGAGCTACCTGGACAGTGGGAAATGTGTGAGGGCTTGGGGAGATGGCCCCAAGAGATGCTGGTCCCACAAGTACCTCTTTGGTTGATGGGAAATAGAAAAGGAGGGGCCAGCTGGGCGCAGTGGCTCACTCCTGTAATCCCAGAACTTTGGGAGACTACGGCGGGCAGATCATGAGGTCAAGAAGATGGAGACCATCCTGGCCAACAATGGTGAAATCCCGTCTCTGCTAAAAATACAAAAATTAGCCGCGCATGGTGGTGCATGCCTGTAGTCCCAGCTACTCGGGAGGTTGAGGCAGGAGAATCACTTGAACCCGGGAGGCAGAGGTTGCAATGAGCTGAGATTGTGCCACTGCACTCCAGCCTGGTGACAGAGCGAGACTTTGTCTCAAAAAAAAAAAAAAAAAAAAAAAGGGAAGGAGGGACCAGGGTGAGGCCAGCGGTAATGAAGTGAAAGTCTTCTCACCAGAGCAGGGGCAGGGTGAGGATGGTCTGAAGAGGGGACGATGCCGCCTCTGAGAAGAAACTAGCTAATACCAAGAATCTCCCTTGAGCCAGGTGTGGTGGCTCATGCCTGTAATCTCAGTGCTTTGGGAGGCTGAGAAGGGAAGATTGGTTGAAGCCAGGAGTTAGAGACCAGCCTAGTCAACACAGAGAAACCCTCGTCTCTACAAAAGTTACAAAAATTAAATGGGCATGGTGGCGCATGCCTGTAGTTCCAGTTGCTCAGGAGGCTGAGGTGGAAGGAAGGTTTGAGCTCAGGAGTTCAAGGCGGCAGTGACCTATGATTGTGCCATTCCACTGTACTCCAGTCTGGGTGACGAAGTGAGACCTTGTTTCAAAAAAAAAAAAAGAATCTTTATTGAAATGAGTGCTTTACATGTATGTGTGTTACTCAATCTTCACAAAGATCTCGCACGTAAGATGTCATTATGCCCATTTTACAGATGCAAAAACTGAGGCTCCTTGACAGCTGCAGTCATTTAAAGTCATGGTGCAGCCACCCAGTGATGGAATGCATCTTTGGCAGTCTGTTTCGCCAAGCCTTCCAAGTGACTGCGAACACGAGCGACGACCTCATGGCTGGGGTTGTGCAGTGGTGACCATTTTTCAAAAAAGAAAAACTGCTGTTAAAAACTGAGACATGCCATTGTGAAAGCTTGATAGAGAAAAATAGCAACTGATGGCCTTCTAGAAGCCTCCTGTGAACTCTTCAGGCAACTGATTTCTGAGCATGGACCAAGGCCAGAAGGGCTTTACAACTCCACAGAATCTGCATGTTTAGAGAGTGCATATCAGTTTTTATTGAGAGGCAACAGCTTTTGGGTTTGCTAATGTTCCCATAAGGTAAGATCTTCACCTTTAAAGATTTTTATTGATTCAGGGCTTTCAGAAATGCCTTGTTTTGATTCTGTTGCTGTGCAGAAGCTGAGCTAGTACATAAATATGGGTAGTGTTTATTGAGTATTTACTATGTGCTGGATATTGAATGTGCATTATATTGTATTGCCTCATGTGATCCTCACAACATGCCTATGAGGCAGGTATTATTGTTATCCTTATTTTATAGATGGGAACATTGAGGCCCAGAAGGGTTCAGTAAGTTTCTCTTTGTCACAGAGCAGGGTAGGGTTGGAGCCAGGAAATGAGCCCAGGTTGTTTTTTTAAAAAAACTTTCATTATAGAAAAGTTTAAACATATATAAAAGTAGAAAAAAATTGTATAATAAACCCCTACGCATCCATCACCCACTTTGAACAAGGATCAACATTCTGCCATTCTTGTTTTATTTTCCTTCCTCACATTTGTTGTTTTCTGGAGTATTTGAATCTTGGATATCACATCATTTCACCTGTAACTACTTTCATAAGCCTATGTAACAGACAAGGACTTTTTTTTAAATATTAGTATAATACTATTATCATACCCCAAAAATTATTCCTTTATATCCTCTAATACTTGGTCCATGTCCTGTTTCCCTAACTGCCTCAAACATGTTCTTTTGTAGTTGTAATGTCTGAATCAGGGCACAACCACCCAATAGTGCACTTGGTTGTTGTGTTTTGTTTCTTCAAATCTGTAAGTTTCCCACTTCTTTCCCTTCGCCATTTATTTGTAAAAAGCTCCATATTCTGGATTTTGCTAATTTTATCTCTATGGTTTCGTTTAACATGTTCCTCTGTCCCCTATACTTCCTTTAAACTGTGTGTTAGAGCTAGAAGTGGATTTGATTCAGGTTGAATTTTCTGGAAATAATGTTTTCTGGGTAATACTCTTCCTGCCTGTTGCACAGGCTCTCTGGTGACTCCATTTTTGATGATGTGAAGATTGTCCAGTGAGCCAGGTGATGTCAGCCTGATCAATGCATCACACAACTCTGCTGGAGTCTTCCACCTGCCTTAGCAGCCATCAGTGTCTGCTATCAAGGTGCATTATAACATCACGGACAGCAAAAATGGTGGGCGTCTCATCCCATCCTTCTGATCTGTATTCGTTAGCTGACATTCTTCTCTAAAGAGTTTCCTACATCAATGACTTGTTAACCTAGGCAGTCCGATGCTAGACTGCTCTCAGAATCTATGCATCTCATACTTTCATGTGAGCATAAATCACACTTCTCAAAATGCAGATTCTGACTCACTAGGTCTGGGGTAGGAGCTGACAGACTGTATTATATTATTGATAAGCTCCCAGGTGCTACAGATGCTGCTGCTCTGCAGACCACCCTCTGAAAGGAGCCTGGATCACCTATTTTGCCAGTTAAACTTTTCAGACTGGTGCTCTCCTCTGTAGAATTCTTTATGAATGGCCAGCCATCTCTGAATGGGCAGCTATTCTAATGCTAACCGGTAGTTTGACAAGGTTAGTGGTTTAAACCTAAGCATCAGGGTGTATTATTCAGACTACAAAATGTTATTGCAGCTTAGAATTTTCTGAGAAAATTTGACACGTCACATAATATAATATTGAAGGTACAATTTTTATTCTTGTCTTGTGTCTCACATTTTGTCAAAAGTGAAATACTTTTCTAAGGGAAGGCCTGGTGACATGCCAACCACCACTTAGCATCTTCTGGTGCTAAGTTTATAGACAGCTGTGGTTCTGCCTGCCCTGCAAGGCCTTTTTCTTTTGTTGGCAGAAACTTGGCATTGCTTTGGAGGACTATCTCTCCAAGGTCTTTTGCTCTCTCTTCATCAAAGCGTGGGCCAATCAGACCCTCTCTCTCCATGAATTTAAACCTTGAGTAGAGCAATGTCAGGCCTGAAGATGGCTGGAGCTGATTCCTTTCAACAACAGTGCTGAGGAGAGATTGTCTTCTGTGTCCTTCCTCTTAGGTTCCAGGAGCTCCCCTAGTCACCTGTCTTCTAGCCCTGACTTCTCAGTCTCTTTTTAAATATGTGAAGCATCTCGTAAGTTCCAGATGAGTTGTTTTTCTGCTTAAGTTATCCAGAGTTGCTTTCTGTTGCTCACAACCAAGAAACCCTGACTGGTAGAGCCTCCATCCTGGAGTCTCAAAATGGTGTGACTTACCTGCTATTGCTGTGACAGTGAAGAGTGAGCAGGTTGACAAGGAAGCACTTCAGTCATTTGTCTTAGTGATGCCAGCATCACCAATTACCCCTTAATAGTGGTTACATATCAGAGTACCCTGAAAGCAGGAGTAAAGATAATGAATTTGCAATGGGAGAACCCCTTGGAATGAGGCTTCTTCCTCTTGACTTTTCCAGTGAATTTGGTTTTATGGGAAGCACATTTTTTCCCACTGGTCAGAAGAGCATGTAGTTTTACAGGCTAATCTTGCCCTTATGGAATAGAGGAAGGGGAGCAATAAGCTACCAGCATCAATGATTGGGTCCTGTCATGAGGCCCCAGGTCCCCTCCTTTCTTTCTTTTTTTTTTTTTTTTGAGATGGAGTCTCGCTCTGTAGCCCACGCTGGAGTGCAGTGGCCGGATCTCAGCTCATTGCAAGCTCCGCCTCCCAGGTCCACACCGTTCTCCTGCCTCAGCCTCCCGAGTAGCTGGGACTATAGGCACCGGCCACCTCGCCCGGCTAGTTTTTTTTTGTATTTTTTTTTAGTAGAGACGGGGTTTCACCGTGTTAGCCAGGATGGTCTCGATCTCCTGACCTCGTGATCCACCCGTCTTGGCCTCCCAAAGTGCTGGGATTATAGGCTTGAGCCACCGCGCCCGGCCCAGGTCCCCTCCTTTCTACCATAGCCTCCTCAAGCCCTGGGGCTGCAGCTTTATCTAAGGAGTAATGACTATGATCTCAAGGAGGCCCCTGAGTCATCAGAAAAGTTATGTTCAGTATGTTCTGCTTAAGAACAGAGGGAAGAGTTTTTGGCTACAGAAGGAAGAAGGATATATATCCTCAACCATTCCTAATGAAATAAATTAGTCAATAAATAGAAATAAAATCACAACAAAAACAAATGTAAGTAGTGACTAAACCAGGAATTACCTTTGTATCTAGAAAAGTCATGACCAGGCTGGGCGTGGTGGCTCATGCCTATAATCTCAGCACTTTGGGAGGCCAAGGCAGGAGGAAGGTTAGAACCCAGGAGTTTGAGACCAGCCTGGGCAACATGAGGAGACCTGGTCTCTAGAAAAAAATACAAAAACGTCAGCCAGGCATGGTGGCACACACCTACAGTCCCAGCTACTTGGGAGGTGAAGGTGCGAAGATTGCTTGAGCCTTGGAGATTGAGGCTACAGTGAGCTAGGATTGCACCACTGCACTCCAGCCTGGGTGACAGAGTGAGACCCGGGGGCGGGGGCGCGAGGGGGAAAAAAGGAAAGAAAGAAAGAAAAGAAAAGTCATGACCTTGGAAAGAACCAGAAAATTCTGATGTAGTACATCTCCTAAGTTCAAACTGCGCTCTCCAGTGAAAGAAGGAATTAATGAAACTTGGAGGATTCTTACTAATGTTATTTAGTCTAGAGAAAAACAATCTCTAGCAGAGAAGACAAGAGTAAGCAGTTCCATGAAAAGTTCAGAGGAAAGATCTCTTGAGTTTGGAAGGCCCTAAATGTCACCTGGAAACGTTAGTGGAGAAAGGAGGGGTTGCCAAGGCTTGCCATTGTTCAGGAAGCCAAAACACACAGACGTGTGATATAGCAGTGGCTGGATGGAATGAACCTTAATTTCTGACATTTAGTGGGATCCCAAGAGAGAGAGCAAAGCCCAAACTTCCAAGAGAAGTCTACTGGCCAAGCTCCTATCCCTGACCTGCCCCTTCCCCATTTCCTTGTCCCCCGACTACGGAAGGGTGGAGAGTTAGTAAAATCTATCTCCACACTGTAGCACAGATGACATTGAGCCCCAGGTAAAGTGAGAAGGGTGTCAAGGAAAACTCCCCCACTATTTCAGAATAAATAGGTGTTGAGCTGGATGTAGTGGCTCATGCCTGTAATCCCAACTACTTGGGAGGCTGAGATGGGTGGATGGCTTAAGGCTAGGAGTTCAAGACCAACCTGGGCAACATAAGGAGACCCTGTCTCTTAAAAACAACAGCAACAACAGAGTAGACAGATGTGTACAGAGCTGTACCTGTTAAACTAGAACAACATGATAAGACATGGCATGACAAATATTTAAACACACTATAGAACACAATAGCCACAGACGAAAGAAAGGAAATACTGGTGGAAAAAAATCAATGAAGGCCTGTCCTGGACAAAAACATATTCTTTAAGAACTACCTATGAATATTTGGTATAATAAAGAACTTAATAAGACTATGAAAGATTTAATTCATAAATTAGAAGTAAGGAATAATAAGTCCAGGCATGGTGGCTCATGCCTGTAATCCCAGCACTCTGGGAGGCTGAGGCAGGCAGATCACTTGAGATCAGGAGTTTGAGACCAGCCTGGTCAACATGGTGAAACCCCATCTCTATTAAAAATACAAAAAAAAATTAGCCATGGTAGTGTGAGCCTATAGTCCCAGCTACTTGGGAGGCTGAGACAGGAGAATTGCTTGAACTTGGGAGGTGGAGGTTGCAGTGAGCTGAGATCTCACCATTGCACCAGTCTGGGGGACAGAACAAGACTCAGTCTCAAAAAAAAAAAAAAAAAAAAAGTAAGGAATAATAAAGATACCACTGAACAATCAAATTATTGCCATGGAAGAAGTGCTGAAATTATTCATGGCAAACACACAAGAAAAAGGCAAAGATTACAGTAGTCTAGAGGAGATGCTAGTTATGGAGGACAAAGATGATCCAATATAATTATAATTGATGTCTCTGAATTAGGTACCCAACAAAAAAATAGGGAAAAATACATTCAGAGATGTAGGTCATCAGAAATAAATTGCAAATTTTTAGATCAAAGGGCATCAAGG